CCCCAAAACCCCAAAACCCCAAAACCCCAATAATCAAAAATTCTTGATACACTTTGAAGCTGTAATGAAATTAAAATTAGTTTTTTTCTAAGTCATATATTTTATTTTGTCAGTATTCATAGTTTTATCTCCATCATAATCTTATCATAAGCATATTCTTTTAAATCAATAAGGTTTTTATATCCTTGACTTAAAATACTCATACTCTTCTTCAGCTTACTTTCTTTTATCCTTCCTAATTGGTATACTATTACTCACATTGCTTGGTTATTCCTTCAAAAACTTATTCGATTATCGTATAGTCTCTCCTCTATCAAAAGACAATTGTTGAGTAACTTTCTAAAATTTATCCTTTACAGTTAGCTTTGCACTCTGAATATTTGAGGCATCACCAGTTTTCATTCCTAAGTTTAATCTTTGAATCATATAAGGAGATGAGCTTTGATTGCCAGTAGATGAGTGGAATGATTTTAGTTGCTAATTAATAAATTCCATTTCGTGATATTTCTTCTTATCCTTGTTCTTAGATGACATAGTATAAGCTTAATTTTGGTAGAAATAGCTTTGACCAGGCTTATTAATACTTCTTGAAACAACATTATTGAAATTATTTGGAATCGCTAGCTCCTTCAGAGCATAGTTCTGGACTACATCAAAATTTTCTACTACCTTTTAAAGCTGTCTATGAGTCTTAAACTGGTCTTTTCTTCTCTTGGAATTATAATTACTTATGGCTGACTATGTTCTATAAAACGTAGAGGCCTACTATCTACTTCTATCTGTAGTTGTATTGTTCATAGTTGTATTTCGCTAAGTTACTTGAGGCTAAAGAGGGTTAATATTAGAATAAGGTTCCTCTTTATGAGATAAGATAGATTTTAACTTTGGCTGCATAATGACTTATGGATGATTTTTGTATTTCTCCGCATGTGACTAAGGTCTACTTTACAAAATTGAATCGGGGTTGAAATTTTCAATTTGCAAATCCTTCATTGTCTAATTTATCTTGTCCTTTTATGTCATTGATTCAATCTTTTCATTCTCAAATTTGAATGTCTAATTAACCTTTGTTAAAGAAGCTTAAGTGTGTTTACTAGTTATTCTGTTCATAAATTTTTAATTGAAATTTATGCTCATTTCAAGAGTCTTTTTCTCTAAAAATCTTGCATTCTTTAAAGGATTCTATTTCAAGTCTAAAGACTTGTTGATAGCTTCATTCTTATTATTTTTAGCCTAATTTTGATTGAAATATTCATTTTCACTATATCTAAAGTTTTCATTCAGACTATTGTATTATTGCTACATTTAACTAAAGTTTCTTCTATGACTCTACTATCCATCAAATTAGTCAATATGTCTTTTTAATTTGCTTAAAATTGAAGTTCCTGTACCTAATTTGACTGAATTATTATAATTAGAGTTTGATGTAAATTGAGTACTATTATTTCTGTCTTGGCTTGTTTCCACTTAGTTGCCATATCCATGGTCTTGATTCTGCTAGTTTTAAGCCTGAATTTGTTATTACTGATTCTTTTTAATTTCATAATACTTTATGGTTTGAGGAACTTGAGCCCAAAGCATTTCCTTCATTAAACTATCGCACATCAATTTGATTTCACTATTATCCTTTAAAGCATTAGTGACTTCTTTTGACCTTTAGATTTTTTAGAGATATATATTCTGCATCTTTTTTGAAATCTCTGCTGATTCACTGAGTATTGATTACCAGGCTTCATCACTCTAAGCTCTTAGTTTCATAAATTCCTAATAGTTTATTTGATATTCAAATTTACATCTTTCTTCATTTGGAAAACTTTAGAATCCTAAGTGTTACAAATAACTGTGGTTAAATATTTACTACCTCTTATGCTTTCATCATCCCCAATCATCTTTCCTGAGCCAAGTACAAATAACTACATAAAAATTAAAATTTGATATATGGCTACACTAATTTCATTGGAGATCTTGAATCCTTAAACTTTCATAAAGTTATTATTAAACTTTTTAGTAAGTGTTGGATTGTGCAATAATTCATATTCCTTATTGCTTGATTTCGGCTCATAAACATGCTTTTTCACTTCCAATTCCCCATCTTTTACTATATAAATATACTCTACATCCTAACCCTCTCTGAATAAAATCTGGCCTCTCTTAAAATGATGAATTTTTAGAGAGTGAAATATCTTTGATAGCATTCGCTTACTTAACCCTGCAAACTGTTCTACGTTTTTTAGGAAATTTATTTCTTTTTATACAAATTTCTTATGAATTCTATCAAGTATCCTTTCGAATGATTTCTTTGAAAATACTCCGATATGAGTATCAACTGCAGCAACAGCCTGATAAGGTCTTTTATACTGTCTTTAATCTTTGATTATACTCTAAGTGCCAAAGAGTTAACCTTTCAAATATTAGTGAACTGCAACCTGACAAGTCTAATTAACTTTACTAGGATCGAAATTGGAAAAGCTCTACCTAATATCCTATGCTTTTTAAAATGACAATTCTAAGTCAGTTATGAATTCTTTAAAGTCATTATCATTACTGATAGCTCTCTTTTTATAGTCCATCATAATGTCTACTTGGCCATCTATGATTATATACATTGAATCGCATTGTTCATCTAAATTAATTTATGAGAATTTGTTAAGAATTTTTTAGAATGAATAAAATGGAGAATTTGAAAAAATCAAGCTTACTATAATTTGATATTATTGACCCTTGAGGAAAATACTCGTAAGTTAGCAATTCACAAACGTCATTGAGATCTTTTCCTTAAATCCTATGCATCTGGAAGAATTTCTACTCCTTGACTAAAGGCATTACTGTCATCAAATCAACTTATGTCCTACTCTCAGCATTCTTCTTGAGAATTTAGATTATCATCTAACAGAATAAATTACATACAATACTG